AGAGCCATCAATTCTGCCAATCTGATCAATTCTTGACCGTGGGTACGCACTGATGGTTTTTCTGATGCTGATATGTTTTTTCGCAGTCTGTCTTTTACAGTTTGTTTTCACTCCCATTACCCTCCTTCTCTCTTGACCATCTGGCTCTAATGATGACCTTCACATGTTATCTCATTAACACAAATAGTCTTTCACAAAATCCCTCAAAAAGTAAACAGTATTGTTTTATATTAAGCAAAAGCAAAATCAAAACAATTCACATCGAAGGCCCGGACCTTCAATATTTCTATACTCATTAACATAGACACAATATGAGATCCTGTTTCTTTACTTACTAATCTTACTAAACTTTAGAACAGGGAAATATAAGAGATATATACTTAACTAAAGAATTTAATTTACCACAATATTAAATAAAATTATATATATATATTATATTACTACATTACTAAACCTAAAATACAAATATAAAAAGAATAAAACTTTCAGTTCCAACATGTAGACTTAGCCTCAGACTGCAAACAGGGGTGACAATTAGGATGGTGTTTCTTGAAATCTTGTTACTATGACCATTATATTTGTAACAATGAAGTTCATTTTGTATGCCAAGACTCTTCCTATGATACTTCAGTATTATCACAAGCCAACGAACTCTTTTTTTCTTACAGTTTTAGTTTGTCACATGATCATTTGCTCTTCAAAGCGATCAATGCATCCTATGTTATAGGAGTCCAAAGATTAAGAGATAGGCAAATGGCAAATGAGGTAAAATCATGTACATTAATTTGTGAGATCACAGAATTATAAGGATGTAGGACTAAAAGGGACATCAAGAAGACAAAGTTCAGCATCTTACCCTGAGGCAGGACAAAGAAACCTAAACCATCCCTGAGAGGTGTTTATCCAAATTGTTATTTAAAAACTCCAATTACTGGTAATCCATAAAACCTCTTGGAAGCCTGCTCAAGAGCTTAATTACTCTTATAGTTAGCTTTTTCTAACAGTTAACCCAAATGCCCTTTATTGCAGATTAAGCCTATTGCTTCCTATACTACCTTCAGTGGACATGGAGAACAATTGATCACATTTCTCTTTACAGCAGTCCTTTCCTTAACATATCTGAAGACTATTATAAGGTCCCACCTCAGTCTTCTTTTCTCAAGACTAAAGATGCCCAGGATTTTTTAACATTTTGTCATAGATCAGATTTTCTAACTCTTTTATAATGTTTATTATCTCCTCCTATGTCCAATTAGTCCATATCTTTCCTAAAGTGCAGTGCCCAGAACTCTACCAGTGCTGACAATTACCAAATACCTTAAAAATAGCATTCCTGTTATGTCACCCAAAATAAAAACATTTTTCAAAACAGCATCATCACATTGTTGGCTCTTGTGCAATTTGTGTTCCGTGAATGCTAATGCTAAAGGGTACGTCTACACTTGCACTCTAGTTCGAACTAGGGATGAAAATGTAGGTGACCGAAATAATTGCTAATGAAGCGGGGATTTAAATATCTTGCACTTCATTAGCATGATCTCGCCGTCACGTTACTCCACTGAACAGCTGTTTCGAAACTGAAAGTGTGCACCGGGACATGTTAGTTCAAACGAAACCCCTTGGTTATTCTTTGAGGAGTAACATTAGTTTGAACCAAGGTGTTTGGTTCAAACTAATGCATCCCGGCGCAAACTTTCACTTTCGAAACAGCTGTTCAGCAGAGTAATGCGCCGGCGAGATCATGCTAATGAAGCACGAGATATTTAAATCCACGCTTCATTAGGAATTTCGGTCGACTACATTTGCATCCCTAGTTCGAACTACGGTGCAAGTGTAGACGTACCCATAGACACTAAAGAGTAAAATCGCAAGGATGCTATAGGTCAGAATAAAACACCATTGGAAGAACTGCATATGAAAAAAGGCATTGCAAGGTTGAATGAATGGTTGACATGCAGAACTCTGTGTTAGCTTGTAAGCTTGTCTCTCTCACCAGAGAAGTTGGTCCTATAACAGATATTACCTTAACCACGATGTCTCTCTACTATCCTGTGACCAACATGGCTACAATGACACTGTCCATGACGTTGAATTAACTATTTGTATATTTTGAACACTACGCCAGATCTGACAGAACTATGCCTTAGTCTAGGCTTGACCAACAGCCCTTCAATATTCTTTCCATGTGAGCTGGGAAAGGGGCTATGATTCTCAATAGCATGCATGTTAATTTCTTATAAAATCTAAAGAATAATAAGAGGAATCACTGCTAGCTTCCTCAGATGGCTGAAATATTATTACCTCCGCTAGTTCTATAATATTAATCTGAATGAATTAATGGAGAATACTGTATATGAAAGAATCAAATTTAAGTAGATGATAATTGTGGCATGACCTTGGGCAAGTCACTTACCCTTCTGTGTGCCTCAGCTTCCCTTTCGTAAACTAGGGACCAAAGTGACTTCTAGCCCCGCACTGCTGTTGCAAGGGTCTCAGACACAGGAGGCGTCAGACTCACTTATTCCCCTGATGTCTGTTCCACACTGCTGGAAAGTGCTACCAGATCAAGCCAAGGGCGGGACGGGGGAGAAAGGACCTGATTTTAAGAGGAATAAGGGATCTTCCGGAAAAGCCTTTATTTTCCGAAAGATCCCGTCTAGACTGGCGCTTTTCTCCTGCAAAGCCCCGAGCCGGAAAAAAGCGGCAGCCATGTTCATGCAAATGCCGCGGGGGATATTTAAATCCCCCGCGGCATTTGCAATTCTGACTTGTCTCATTAGCATCCCTTTTCCGGAAAAGGGTGTCAATGTAGACAAGGCTTCAGGGTACGGCTACACTGCCGCTTTTTTTTTTTTTCTATTCTTCTGTAGGAAGAGTTTTTTCCAACATTTGGCCTGTCTAGACTGGGCCAAATTTCAGAAAAACCCCTTATTTCGGAAGCCCCCTTATTTCTCATGGAACGAGGAATACAGGGGTTACTGAAACAGCATGTTTGGTGCGGAAGAGTTTTTCCGAGATACCTCTGGAATACCAGAAAAACTCCTGCTGTTTAGCCATACCTTCACTGGGTTGAGACAGGATGTGTGGGCTCTGGGGTGGGAATGAGGGATTTGGGTTTGGGAAGAGGTGAGGGGTGCAAGCTCTGGGAGGGAATTTGGATGCTGGAGGAGGTGGAGAAGGGAACACTGGGTCGGGGAGGTAGCTCCAGGCTGGGGAGTGTTGGGGTCAGGTGGAGGGTTGGGGTACTGAGCAAGCCACAGGCTTGTGGATGTGAGGGTGCAAGAGTTTGGGTTGGGATATGTGAGGGGCTCAGGAAAGGGAGGTTGGGAGTATGATGAGCTCAGGACACAGATTTGCAGTGTGTGGATGGTGCAGAAGTGTTGTGGCAGAAGACTGAGGATGTGGGAGTGCAGGAGTTTGGGGATGTGAAAGGTTCAGGACAGGGGGTTCCAGTGTATGATAGGCTCAGATCTAGGGTCAGGGGGTGGGGTGGTGCAGGAGTGTTATGAAGCTGTGGCCAGATGGGGGCTTGGCCCCAGTTGGGGGTTTGTTGGCCAGGCTTCATTTTTAAATAAATATTATGTTAAACACAAAAAGTTTCAGCATTGTCTTTATTTATGAGAAGGGCAGGGAACCTGTTTTGAGTCAGGGGTCACTGACCCACAGAAAAGTCAGTTGTGGCCACACAAGTGAGATGCAAAAAAAAAACTCTTCCCAAAACCCCCAAGCCTCACTAATGTGGCCCCAACTGTCCTGGTAGAAGCAGGGGACATGGTACTGGGGAAAGGTGCTAGTGGGTGCTGGGGCAGGGGACAGGGCGCTGGGGCGGGGACAGGGTGCCAGTGGGTGCTGGGGACAGGGTGCCAGTGGGAGGAGGGGCAGGGTGCCAGTGGGGGCAAGGGACAGGATATCAGTGGGTGCTGGGGCAGGGGACAGGGTGCCAGTGGGTGCTGGGATGGGACGGGG